CGTATCCCATTAACCATTAACTCTACATATCAACACCCAAGAGATGTAACAACGCAATTCAGACTGTGTGCCAAGCCAAAATTAACTCTGCTTTCACTTTCATGCCAGCAGAACTCCCTGTACCTCCTGGCCCTGGCCTCAGCCCCAGCTCCACGCAGACTCCCAATCCCCAGGACACCAAACCAGGAGCAAAGCACCTTTTCTCATGCTAATAACTCCATTGCAATAACATCTTCAGAGGCCACACTCAAGGTCTGAGGGAAAAGTAAACCAGTGAAGTGCTTAATACTCCAATGGCGCATTAACTCATTCACACCCAGACAGCCCTGCCAAGCCAGGAGGAGTTTTCTTTCATGCTTTCCTGATTTATATTTTCACAGCTGTCAGAGAGAAAAGCATGTAGGAAGCACATTACGTAAACCACCCGATTAGGCTAAAATCCTCCATGTGGATCACACCTCCTTCCCTCTCCTCTTCCACTGGCGTTTCATGCAGAAAGTAGAGGGACTTTTTGTCTTTACTGAAAGCAGATTACTTTTTTTTAAAGGTTAAACTAGTCATTATTTGCACTGCTGTCCCTGTTACAACACATGACGGCATAAAAGGAAAGGAGCAAATTCTCATCCTGACGCTTTGCTCCTTGCAGCACCGCAGCTCTGCCCGCCTCGCACCCCAGCCCTGGTGGCAGCAGGGAGGGTTTAGGAGCAGCCTCCTTGTATTTGTTAACTGTAACGAGACAGGAAGCCACGGCTACAGAAGGGAGAGATCAGAAGAACGTAATCTTTCAAAAACACAACAGTTTTGCGGGAGAAAAAAACCCAAACCAACATCAGAAACCAGAAATTATTATTCCACTGGCCTGTTCTGTGCCTCACAGGAAATAACAAGCAACTGTACGAAACCCTTCACAACCAGAGAGGTAATTCAGAAATCCTCTCTTCTTTCAAATTTTCCAAATCTTAAAAGCCATTCTTGAGGAAGCAACACATTCTGGGCAAAGCTGAAGCATGCCTGCAATTTGTCTGAGGGACCTGGTGGCAAGTCCCAACAGAAAGCAAAACTAATGCAATGCATCTTTGTTCTGATTTTATGTGGAACTTTAAAATAAAAACCAAATGCTACAGCGCCCATTCCCAAAAGTCATTTCAGGATTGCTGTGAAAGACAAAACAGAGCAAACGCTCCTGCTTTGAGATGGTGAAAGCAAGCACAACAGCTGGAGCCACCAGCACCAGCACTGCTCTGCCAGCAGTTTAAAATAACTGTATGCAAAGCAGTCCACAAAAATATTTCAGACTTCACCTTAAAAAAAACCACTTTTTTTTTGAAGTATAAACTTAGTGTTTTCTCTACCTCACAAGAAAACACATCTTTTCTTCCAGAACAGTCATATCTGCACTGATCTAAATAGCTGAGGACAGCCAAACGTACCTGTAACAAAACCGTTCCCAGCAAGCTGGAAACATGGGCTGGAAATACATTCAAAAGATGGCACCCCCAGGACTGGCTGTAGCCCTGCACGAAGAACACCCCTGAACAGAACTGATCCAACAGCTGGGTCCAGAACTGGCCGGTGCCATCAGGGCCCCCCTGGCACCGCACTGCACTCCCAGCCCAGGGGCCCAGCCTGTGCTGCAGGCCCGGCTCAGCCCGGGCAGCGATGGGGTTAAGGCAGTGCCAGACCGCAGGCGCTGGCGGCCGACCAGGAGGGACATGGGAACCAGGGCAGCCAGCTATAAAGGCCTTATTGTAGCAGCCCACTGGATTGGAAATGACTTGTAGGCCTAATGAAACAAAACTTTGGCAGTAAAACAGAATGAAAGGAATGAGACAATAAAAGACAGGAACAAAGGGAGCAGAGTTGTTTCAGCTTAGGAAAATAAGCTCACTTTGTTGTTGGGAAAAGCCAAAGCCGATTAGGATAAACCAATGACTAGGCATAAGTCTTCCAAACTAATTACACAGTTCGCCATGTGAAGTGTAATTGCAAGTCACAAAATAAGGACGACATTACTTTCACAGGAGCGCAACGAAGCTACCCAGTACTGCGGACCCGCAGGGGTCCCTCACCACCCTCGCTTGCAGCTGGAGACGCGCGGGATGCGCTCGCCCTGACAGAAGTGCAGACAGACGAAGGCCCCTCTGCCACCACAGCCCTGGGTGAGGTGCAGCGAAGCTGAGCTCTGCTCCCAAACTGCTTCTGGAAGCACTGAGCACCGCAAGAGGCGCTGAGCCCGGGGAGCAGCTTGGACATGCAGAGGGCAGCCGGGCCCCTCCTGCAGCCGGCCACCAGGCCTTAATTACACTGCTCTGCGCTCTGTTAAGGTTTTTGATTTTATGCAGGTCATTTTTCCCTGTCTTCCTCTGAATGATGGCTGGGATTCCCACAGATCTTCAGCTTTACTGAAAGAAATAACTATCATATCAGAAGCTTCACAATAAAAGTCTCAACAGTTATCATTACCACATTTGTTGGCGTGCTAGCTGGCAGGCATTTCCTCTGGTGAAGTCAGGAAAGAAGGTTTATTAAAGGCAGTTTTCTTTCTACTGGAGAGAAAGGTTCTGACATTTACTTTTCAGAAAGAAACTATTTCAAATTCAACACTTCAGGGCCCTTCGTGCCAACTCCCGTTAAATTAGCGCGTCAGCTTGGCCCAAAGCTGCATGGCTGTAACCACGGGCTGCACTGAGAGCAACCTCCAGTTACCAGAACAACCGCCCCTGGTTGCAAAGCTCTTCTCTGCAGCAAGTACAGACAGGATTCTGAGAAGCACAGCAGCCGTTAAGCAATTTTATTCACACCAATAAGAAAGCTCAGCATTTCAAAGAGGAAGTCACCTGAGATGTTCTTATCAAGCATGGGCGGCTCTGCTGTTCTCTAATTATGTAACGCAATTGCCTTTTATTTTAAGAAAGCGCTAACCAAATGCAATCCTTGCCATCAGTCCTAATGCACTGTTCCTACTGCAATGACTTGACGGGAGAGGGGTGTGCTGAGCAGGACACAGACACATCACCAGTCTCTGCCACCACGAGCCTGCAACCAAAAGCAGCAAGTGAAGGTAAGGCCTGGGAAGGAGATGGGCATGGAAGAGAAGGAAGCAGCTCCTACAGGTCCCACAGGGACAGCCCTCCCTGTGCCTGAACAACCCACCCACTGCAGTGCACTGAGCCACCTGAACCAGCTGGACCACAAGTCCACGATTCCGAGGGTCACTAATCACCTCTACTCCTTCTCACAACTGGAGCCTGGCAGGCATCACCTCAGACACCCCCAAACCAAACTGCCAGCTGACAAACAACACAGTGCAGTCAAGAGCACTTGAGTGCCTCCAAAATGCCACTGCCTTCAAACTCTCCTCCTGATCACAATGTAGCACCGAGATGCACAAGACAGGGATGCACCTGGAAAATGCTACTGGGCAGCACCCTGCTGGCCCTGAGTCCCACAGCAGCCCAGTCCCAAGGACTGCCAGCCTCAGCGGGATGAACCCCGGCTCCACTGCCAAAGGGAAGGGTTTCAGCCCTGCTCACAACTTACACAATTATTTCCAGCTCCTTCATTTTTAAGCCTTCAACTGATAACACCTGAAGAGTATCTGATTCTTCAGAAGTATTGCTTTCTGAAAACCCTTCTTTAAAGCCAAGAAAGGCAGAGTACAAAAGCAGGAACTGAAGCATCCCGAACCACAAGTCGCTACTGAAAAAATGCAGTCCGATTGTCTGCGTTATCAAGGACTGTAAAACTGCAAACATGAAACTACCAGATGGTGAAATTAAAAAGACTAGATTAAGAGAGCATCCAGCCAATATGCAAAGCACTTTTATTGAAACTATTATTAACTTCAAAAATACAGGTTAGAGGAGTTCCGCAATTAGAAGTAACTACAGAAGAAACATCCAAAAGCTCGTGTAATCCTTTAATAAAAGGCTCAGCAGGCTGTAAACATCCTGCCGGAATCGAAGATTATTATTGAAAATAAAGTGAACGGCTTGAAAAACAACTACCAATCCAGCACAGGAACAGTTTATAAACTCCCCTCCTCAGCTCTCAACAAAATACTGCCTGGCCAAGGCATTTCAGAGCCAGATAAAAGAAACATAAACTGACTACAAGGAATGGGAGCTGCTTTGCTTTGGGATATCCCACTGCGTGCTCAGGCAATCAAGCATCTAAATCATCAGTGGATGCAATCCAAAAGGCAGAAACCGAGCTGCAGAGCGCCGAAGGTCCAGCGCCCATCGGGAGCACTGCGCTCAGGGCCTGCCCACCCCGCCTGCCGTCAGCTCAGCACAGTCAGCAGCGCTGCGCCGCACCGGGGGCCCCACGCCGCACTGGCGCCCACCGCAGGGTGCGGGCTGTTCTGCTGCACAAGAGAACACTGGGGCAAGGCCCAGGCTTCCCTCGGACAGCACCGACTCCACGCCTAACTCTGCTTTTAATGACTTCAGGACTCCACGTGTGCTTCACAAGCATCTTGCTAAAGATTTTTCAGTAAGAAACGGAAGAATAATCTGGTGACTTCCATTCCCCTCTTGCTGTTCACATGGTTCCTAAAGGCATTTCACAACTTTGCAAGCTCTCTCACACACCTCTGTGCCTCCTTCAGCTGCTGGAATCAGGGCTCACAGGAGGCTTACGTTATGGAGCAGACAACTGTGTAATCGTTCAGGTAAGGGTACGTTCCTCCTGAACAAACACAAATTCAACTCCCAGTGATTTTGGTTGTTGTTGTTTTGATACTTTTTTTTTTTTTTTTTAACCCTGAGCAGTGTTGACAATGCTGGATGATGCTGTACACATTCAAATGCAGCAAACAATAGGAACCACAAAACAAACTTAAATAGGCTTCAAAAAAAAATTAGACTGCAAAGCAGAAAACGTGGCTCTCCTTTGAGCACAGGCCTCACTGCACTTCTGTTTTTTCAAAACACTTTAAAAAGAAAGGGAAAAAAAGGAAGAATTCAAAGAATGCAGCGCTCACTCAGGCAGGAACTTACCTTGCCAAACTGTTCAAAGTATTGCTTTACGTCTTCCACTACTGTATTAGCCGATAATCCACCTACAAATATTTTCTTTGTTCTTGTGACCATCTGCAAGAAATTACAAGACAAGCATATGGTTTAACCAGATTATTTCAAACAATATGTGGAAAAAAAAATATATTCTTCAGATGCCATCCCTAGCCCAGTTAATGAGAATATTTCTCTACAAAAGCAATTCAGATTCTATTTGATTAGATACTTTTTTTCTTTGTCTTGTTTTGTTTTTGCTTGAGAAATGGATGAGTAAAGGCACTCAATAACAACTCTAGCCCCCGGATATTTTTTTTTAATAAATGATTTTTATTGTGCTTCTCAATGCAAATATAAGGGAAAAAGGATTCCTCATAGCTACCATCTCAGAAAGGCACGGCATTTTTCCCCCTTCTTTCCTAAAGACAAAGCACACTCTTTAGCAGACATAAGGCAATTCCATCCAACTGAACTGCCCTGATATTAAGTTTCCACGGGTGGCTTTAAAAGGAACTTGCACAATTACTTCGATATTCTTCAGGAGGCAAAACCCCACAGCCCAGGCTAGTCCACACAAAGCAAAGGAATGATGCTGGACTCCCTGTGGAGCACTTCCAGGTGACCCATCACCCACAACCCTTTGAGATGGACAGGACTCAGCCCAAAGACCCGAGCCCTTAGGAGCAGCACCAGTAGGGCAGTGGGTGTCACTGCAGGGCCAGTCCACCACCAATGGGCCGCCTCACAGCAGCACAGACCCATCACTCCCATCTCTGCTGCCATTCAAATCAAACATTTCCCTCCATCACTCCCCACCCATGCTTTACAGAGCTGCACTTTTTTTTTTTGTAAGTTAAGAAGGAAAAAAAATAGTGTAAAAATTCAATTATTTTTTCCTGAATGCAATCTAGGACTCTGAAATTGAAGCCCAAGCATACATTTTTCTGTATAAAATTGTCATTTACAAATAAAGAATTGGCTAAAGCCAACTTGTAACTAAAGGATTTCGCAGGGCTGCCAGGAGCCCTCTGCCTGCTGGCATCTGATGAAGATCAGGCCAAGCTCCTGTTGTCATACAAAAGAGGGAGGAAAGCAATTATTCTAAAGCAATATTTGAAATTATCTTCATTTTTATATTTGACCAAGAAAGAAAAAGAGAAATACTTCTTTTAGAAAGAAGATTGAAGGTTAAAAAAAAAGACTATTTTGTTTCTATAGCTTCAGTCAAAGAAAATACAGGTAATGACAAGCAAATTCACAACATTTTAATACTGACTGTGTGCTGTGAGATGGGAAATGGTTTCAGAAATCACTTCTAGGTACAGAAGTGAAGGCCAAAATGAAGTCTGCCCTCACAATCCCTGCTCTCAGAAGGCTCCAGTACTCGGCACTCACTGCCCAGGCAAAGAACGCAGCCCTGGGGAAGGCCAGGTCAGGCTGAGGGGCACCAAGCACATAGAGCTGAGCCAAGCACGGAGTTTCTGTTCAAAACCAAAGCCTTTTTAAAATCAGAACATCTCGTTTGGCTGTGAAAACGCACCTGCATATCTTTAACCAAACTATCCTACAATTCTACAGAAACACACGTATAGGCGAGTGCAGGAGTTGGGCTCGCTGACCCTTATTGGCCCCTTTTCACTTGGGATGTTCTGTGATACACCTAAGAACCCGCTGTGCCATCCGTCTGCACTCACTGGCAGCGCCGTGCCAGCAGGCAGCGACAGGAAGCCATGGGAGCCGATCCATCACAACCCCTCGGAGCAGCACTGAGCGCCAGGTCGGCCAGCAGGCACCACTGCCAGCTCCACACCTCAGCAACGCGCAGCAAAGCAGAGCTGTCGACGCCTATCGGAAGGTCTGCACAGAACGCAGACGTTACGTGTTTCTGGAGTCTCTGCACGCTGATGGCGTCTGAATCGACAGGGGAGAGGGAGACCTACCGGGGTTATGAAGCCCGCTAATGGCGAGTATCTGCAGAACCGCTTTGTTGTGCACGGTGTTGGTGCTGCAGTTAATCAAAACTCAACATGTGACTAAACTGCGAAGAGTCACTCAAGGTTACAATCTCTCTCTTGGCTTGGCTCTTCAGAAATACATCTGCCTTTGTGTTTGGCAAACACTTCAGCTGGTGCAGAAGCAGGAAAAAACACCGTGCTTCAGCACGACAGCTCTTCTGGTTTGATGGCATTTTGTGCTAGGCTAAGGTCGTAATGAGATCGGTTTGTGGCACATCAAGCGAGTCTTCCCAGAAGAAGAGGCTGAAGACTGCCTCTGGAAACAGATCCGTCCCACAGGAGCAGAACCCAGCCCAGGCGACACGAAGGAACGCACGGCTCTGCAGAGCTTGTGCCTCCAGCTCTGCGCCCATCCGTGCCCGCACACATCGATTTTGTTCTTAGGCTTCTTTGTTCTTTTCCTCCCCATTCTCTCTTGCTATCATGACTATGAAAATGGGCAAAGAGGATTTATGAAATAATTTCTGGAATTTAAAGAACTTCAAAATCTCAGGCACCAAACCCCCAGCACCTGCAGAGCGCCGAGGCCCAGCTCACACAGCGCAGGAATTCTGCGTTTGACTTCAGGACAACGGCTGTAAGAATCATTTCCTTCCCCTCCTCAATGTCTCAGAATGGTGGAAATGGACTGGAGTACTAATAATGAATCTGCATCACAAATTGCTGAAATTAGCATTAATTTCAGATTAAACTAATTATGCATATGTAACAGTTTTCCAGAGCACTTTCCTCTTGTGCTACTGAGTGTGTGTGGGTGCATGTGTATTCCAGCTTGCTCACCTCATCTGCAGTTTGACATTTCATCATTTCTAATGCATCCGCCTTCTAAATAGGTTTGTAATTGGAAAAATCATCTCTAGTATATATGCTGAACTGCATTTTATACCCCATTGTGTTGTACATCCAAACTACAGCATTACCTCTAATTAAAAACAACAATAACTCATGTAATAGGGGAAGTGATCTTGTTAACTAAATTGCTAGGCTTCTTTAGCAGAACAAAAACCATAAGCAAGAATTCTCCAGGTTTTTTGTGGTGGTTTTTTTTTTTTTTTTTTTTTTTTTTGCCTCCAGGATCCTCACAGCAACTTCCAAAAAGCTATTAAGAAACAAACCGGAACACAGTGCAAAGCCCACGACGAAAGAAAGAACGTTTACTGAAAGCTGCCAACTTTTCTCCATTCACAAAGTGAGCAAACACCCCACTAGCCATCCTCTCAGCCAGAACCACTGTATGGTTGAGAAATGACGGATGTATTTCCTGCACAGTACTACATACCTTCAGCTAGCAAACATCAGGCACTCAAAGCTCCCCAAGAGCAAGAAAAACTCAATCCTGTGTAAAGGCAGCACAGCTTTACGTGCCACGTACAACATGCTTAAGTATTCAAAATAGGATTTCAGCAAGACTTAGCCAGTGCAAATACCTTGTGCCTGACCCCTGTGTAAGCTAATGTCATCCTGTGAGAACCAACGCCAGCTACAGAAGGGATGCAGCAATGAAAGGGCTCTTTAATTCCACCCAGCAGCACAGATTCCTGGTGGGGTCACTCAGTTCCCTTGATTTCTGTGGAAAATACAGACGGACTGTATTCTCCCAAGCCGTTCATCAACAAAACCAATTTAGTCCCAGCTGTCTTCCAAGTTTTCAGCTGTCTTTGGTTTTGATGTTAAACTTGAGAGAGCTGGTTTTTGGCTGGTTGTTTGCTGGTTTTGCCCCCTGCCAGATGCCCGTGGTATCGGCAGGAGGCAGAACAAGCAACGTGGCTTTTATGCAGCAGAGCAGCACCAGCCAGAACCAACTGCAGGGCTGCAGCCCTGGCACAGCCCTCCGCAGTGCAGCCTCCACAGAGCTCCTGGGAGCAGCAGCAGCACAGCCAGGGCAGCGCAGCCCCCACACACACAGCCACGACCAGCTGCCCACGCTCCTGAAAATGAGCCCCAGCTGGGAGAGCTCAGCATTTCTTTGAGCAAAACGTGGCTTCAAGTTTCAAATCAAAAGATACAGTGAAATTCACCAGAGCCGGACTTCACACCCTCCAGAGAACAGGAATAGATCACAGCCCCTCAGCCCTGATTCAACTACTTGCTCTGAATCCCGCAGGGCTGTTCCCTCCTCCTCCACTCCAGGTTACTCTTTTTATGCATAGGGGAAGCAAGGTCTGGAGGCAGGAAGAGGAGAACAGAGCAAATCTATTTAAATCCCCCAGTCGTGTTAGCTTCTCACACACGGTTATGGGAAGGTAACTAAATATTCACTGACTGCAGACGACTCATCCACCATACCAGCTTGATTACTGCTCAGCAGTGCTTCAAAACCGCGCTGATACGTTAAATGAAGACAATTATTGCTATAGGAAGACACCTCAGGACCACAAAAGGAGACCACTGTTCAATATGACGATGTACCAAGGGCAGGATTTTTGCAATACCCACGTAATGTAGGGACAAAAGTCCCAGAGAGAAGCAATTTAGCCTACAGATTTTGCAGCAGAGTCCTCCAACTTCACCTTGTACTGCAGGACAGGGGGGACGGCGTTCTGCCCAGGGCCCTCCATACAAAGGCACGGCAGCAGCGCCCAGTGGGAACACAGCAGAGCTGACCATTACAAGGTTCATCAATTCCACTATTCGTGTTTTATCGTTTTCTGGAAGGAAATGGTGCCATATCCAAAAAACAACCAGAAAGCTTTGTCCTCCACCAGGACACCCAGCAGTAAGAGAACACCTTTCCAAGGGCACGTTCAGCAGCAGGGCTCTCAGCGAAGCAGCCTCTTCGCCAGGCTGCACCAAAGTAGGTCAGAGTGGGAAGCCCAGCTCCCATCGACACAAAACGCCCAGCTAAGAATCTTCCCAACATTTCTGTGATTTGAGTCATAACGACCCCATTAAAATCCATACATGAGTTAGAGCAGCCAAAGCTGAGTGCCTTTGATTTGCTGTCATGCTTGCCTACGGCCGCAGCTGTCATGGGCTGCCGGGCATCGCAGGCACCAGGGGATGTTGCCAGGTTGCCCCACAGCCCCTGCCCAGGCAAAAGCCCACAGAGTCACAGGGCCACCC